CCTTCACACGTCACAACAGGCTCTGCTGCTGCACAATGCCCAACACTCACAGAAATTTAAGATTTATTCTTATGCAGAATAGCTGCATAAAGAATGAAGAGAATGATGTAGTGAGACTTGCAGCATTGTAAATGACTGTACAAGAGGCAAATAATGGAGAATTAGGTCCTTGATATTTCATGTAATGCCTCATTGATTCCAGACTTAGTACCACCTCATACTGCACGTGTGGTTCTAGTACATGAAACTGCTTTCTCTCAGGTAAAATTACAGTTGGAACCATAGGATGTTGGGATGCATATCTTTGAGTGGTTTTTCCAAATGTTGGGGAAGTTGATGTAAATTTTCTTTAAAGTTTGTCTTCCTTGCTTTGATTGAAGTTCATAATTGTAGATAGTGTTTCTAAAGGACTGTGAAACTGATCCAGACATGCTATTAACAGAGAATGGAAAAGATTTGGCGTCTGAAATGTCATGAGATTTTTTTTTAACAGTGTGGCAAACTATTTTTGAACTGATATGTTTTTATTTACCTTATCAAAGGTTTAAAAAGCACAGTGATAACACGCTCATCTCATAGACATTTTCAAGATTAATAAGTTATCTTAAAACTTTCTGCGTTATCTCCACACTTCAGTTCGCCAAGCTTTCTGTGTCTGAACATTTTAGAGAGCCTTCAAGTAATTTTCAGAGGGATTGCTTAAAATTCAGAGCATGCCATGATGAAAGCTAGCTTCCCTGCAATGCTTTTCAAGTGACCAAGTAACCTACTGACTTGCGTTACAGTACGCAGTTCATGACATCCTGTCCTCATGAATCACTGAAATTGCTCTTTCCAGTCATACCCAAGGCTCTCCTCCTACCTACCCTCACACCCCTTCCTGTACCTGTCACCAAGAGTTGCTTTTACTGCCCTGGTTTGCAAGAGACACAGTTTAACAAATGCTTTACCAGCATTTGGGGAGTGGTATTTTCTCTTGTCTAAGCTCACACACACACTCATATCAGGCTGTGCATCTCATTCTCAATTAGAATTTTTTAATTAAATTAATAGCACTGACATAGCTGCATGGTGAAGTGCCGTTCAAAAGTGAAGCCTGTGAGCCCTTTCAGGGGAACAGAAAGGGGAAAATGACAGTTTGGATCTAACTACAGAAGAGGTTGAGAAGATGACTAGAAGGATGCTCTATGGAGGCATGAAGGAACTAGCATGTGACATTTTCTGGGTCTGCATATGGGAAAGGATGTTTGGGCGGATACTACAGAAGCAGAGAACATCCCTAGCTGTTGGCCACAAGATACTTTGAAGAATGGTGGGAGGAAGTAGTGTTGCCCTTAGGTAGTCCTGAGTGCCTACTGGGCACTCAGGCTCTGTACTAAAGCAGTTACCATCTCTCTGCAGCTGGAGGAGGGGGAGGATTGTAGCTGTAGGTAAAAGGAGAATCAAAAGGCAGTGGCTGAGATTTGGGGCTTTTCACCGGTGTCTGAAGGCAATGTCTTAGTGATAAATCTGGACCTACTGCCAAATCTATGCCCAGAAAGCTTGTGTGATGTCTCTCCTTACCAAGAGGCTTCCATCTCCTGTGTTTGCACTGGTTAGTTGACATATTGTAAGCATTCAAATTCCATTCTCATCTGTTATATAGGATTCAGGCTGTGTGTGTGGCTACCTGTTATGTAGCAGAACATTCAGCCCAGTCCTAGAACACGTATGAGGACTTTCCATCTATATCTTGCACTTCACAACAATAGACTGGCAATGCTATCTCAGTTTTACGAAAGAGAGGCCAAACTGAAGCACTGCAGTGTAATATGCTAAGGGTTAGCTACAATGTAGAGGCAGAGACCTGCTCTTCTCCCTCGCATGTTCTACCCTCTGCAGAAGTCTTTTTCTCCAGTATAACACAGAAGCAAAAGAGAGAGAAACTGGTGTAGGCAGAATGGCTAAAAAAGCCGTACTGGAGTGACAAAGAGGATTCTGGGTTTGTCTATCCTGTCTGCTCTGTGGAGAGCGGAGACCCCAGTCATACTCTGTGCTGTAGCTCAGGCCTGGACACCTCATTTGGATGGGTTGGGAACTGAGGTTAGCATGCTGGCATTGCTGCCCAGCAGAAACACTGAGCTCAACTCTTCTGAGCATGGTGCAGATGCTTTGAGAACATGCTGCAGGTGAACTAGCACCAGCCAGATGTACAGAAAGGGGAGTGATCAGATGGCTCCTGCCATTTAACCCAGAGCTCAAAACTGTTCTTCAGTGAAAAGTGCAGAGAAGTGACTCAATAGCTAAAGGAAAAGATAAGCATTTGAACACACAGAATCACTGCTCCACCATCCTCCCTTACCCTATTCATCAGCCCTGCACGCTCTCTTAAAAGGAGGGGGCTTGTGGACACCTTGTTGGGCATTTGCAAACACACACATACACATGCACACATTTCTTTTTATTGCCTCACTTCTACCTGTAATGAAAAAAGGTCCCCGCTGTGGTCAGACTTCGTGTTGTTTGATTTCAGCACAGATCACAGTGATGAGGGCTTACCAAAGGCCTTTTGTGTGCGTATTTAACACTGCAGATGCCAGGGTAAAGAGAAAACTCAACACACTAAGCAAGACCATCTAAATACTAATAAAGACGAAGGGTGATTGGAAGGAGTGGAAATCAGAAAGCCCACAATCCAGGTAATTAAGCTGTAAAGCCCACAGAGAAAGGGCTGTCACCAAGTCATCTGATGTGGATGAAGACCAAAGCATGGTGTGATTCTTTGTCTCTTAATCCCCTCCTCCACTCCCCAGGATGTTCTTCTTTCTCTATAAAGAGTTTATATGAAAGGGGGGGGGGGGGGGGGAATTATTTAAAAAAAAATCCTGAAGGATAAATCTTGTTATTCAGAGCACTGAACAGCTGGTAGTTTAAAGCACAGAACATCAGTTTAGTGATTAATTTACCTCTTTAAAATGCTGAACAATAAAATGCAGTAAAATATGAAATTGTATTTTGTATGGCCTCCTTCAAACCGACTTATCCTGGAGCTCTTCCTAAAGTAAAAGTGCAGCTACAGAGTTAAATAATCAGTATAGCAGAAGGGAGAGGTATAAAAAGAGATGTGCAAGGAATAAAAAGATCAGCTCTTCAGGAACCCCCCCTTCAGTCCATTTAATTTTACTGAAAGCAAGTAGCCTTTGCAATAATTTTTACATATTGATGAATTTTCGCCTTGCGTGCCCTTTCCCTCTCCTTCCATCTTACAGGAGCATCTCTGTGCTGCTCCTGCTGCTGCTGCTGGCACTCCCTCGCGGCACCAGTGTGCAGCTGATACTGCTACAGGCTATCTTACACTGGATAGCTGCCAGCTCTCCACTCTGCCTCTCCCCCACACCTTGTGATTAAATGTTACCTTTGGCGGATGGTTGCCCTGGTACCACCACCAAAGGGGATGCTGCCCTTTTGTCCTATTGCCCCAGACAGAGAATTCCAAGAACCTGCCATATATCTGCGTCTGTGACCTCTCTGGAGACACTGGGGAGTGAAGTTCAGTCCTCTTGCATAGATAGGTGTGACTGACATGCCGGCAAAAGAGAGTGTACATGCGTGTGTGTGTGTGTGTGTGTGTGTGTGTACACAGAGGGGAGAGATAAGAAAGGTGGAGAGGAAATCAGGCAGTTAATGATTTTGGTTATGGGGAGAATTGCATTAGTGTGAAGCATACATGGGCAAATTCATCCCTGGTGTAACATCACTGAGCTCCCAGAGACAACGTTGGGGATTCATTTTACCCACAAAAATAAGGAGCCACTCGACCCTCATTTGTCAAGCAGCACAAAGCAAAGATGTGAAGAGCCCTGTCGTGGGGGGTTGAGGGTTCTGCATGTTTTGGGAACCCTTCACATCTGCAGCATTCAGGTTTCCTGAAATAACGCTCTGCCTGTCTGTGGTGTTCTTCTTCCCCTGTGTAATAATAAGGGATTTAGTTAGCAGACAGATGCTAAACCCATTCTTACTGCATTTAGCATTTCAGAATAATGAATAGATTTGCAAATGATGTTTCGAGACTGCTTATTTTTCAAACAATGGCATCGCTAATGTTCCCAGCTCCTTTGACTTCACAATTGTCTTTTTCAAACAGTAAAATGTTACAATTAGCTTCCTGGGAAGGGCGGAGGGGAAATGTCATTTCTAAATAATTTCAAGAGATGCCTTGTAGAGAGAAAGGTATGTGCTGATGAACCGCTCAGCCAGACTCCCCGTTGAGTCTCCCTGTGCTGGTGGCACTGCTCTGAACTGGCACTGGGGTAACTCGGGAGCTGCCCTCTGAACTTCTGAGGCATGATTTCTTCCCTGGTGGTGCCGACGAGCTCAGACTCTGGTCCTGAGAGTGCGAGGGAAGGCTGCTGGCTTGACATGGAGCATAGAATTTGCCTGAATTCTTAAGTATTGGGCCTGGAAACCCTGACAAGCCTCATCCCAGGGATTTGAAGGTCATCCTCCCCTGAGCAGAGCGTATGGGGGTACTGCAGCCGGCAGCTGAGAAAGCACCTTGTGCTCCTCCAGAGCCGAGCAGCGTCTGTCTGCCTGCCTGCCTCGCTCGCTCTTGCGCTCTCTCCCCGCTAACCGGTCTTTAATACGGATCTAATTCTGACTCCATTGCGGTGCCGCGAAATCACATTAGGCAGCGTAAGGATGCTCGCCGCCCCTTCAAGCGTGATAAACTCTTGATTGCTTCCCCGAAGCTCTAATGAGCCCGCGAAGGCCGGGCGGGCGGGAAGGAGCGGTGCCAGGGCGTGAGACGAGGGAGAGGAGCAGGAGGAGTGGGCTGGGGCTGCTCCTCCTCCGCTGAGGGAAGGGGAACTGCCGGCTCCGAGCCCGCCGCAGCCCTGGCTCGCTATCTTTCTCCCTCGTATACTGAGACCCTTGTATATGCCCCAAGCGACAAACCAAGAGGCGGGAAGGGCAGGTCAGGCCGCCCCAGGCCGGCCGGCAACCCGCCCCCTTCTGAGGGACCCCCCCGTCCCTGTGGGGCGGAAAGCGGCGGCTTATCGCGGTTCTGCGTGAGCCAGACGGAAAGGTTGCGGCAAAGGTGGGACGTTTGAGTGATGGGTTGGCACAAGGCAGTGCTTATCTCTTTAAGAAATGGAAATGAGGTCTAATTAGCATAGACTGGTTGCAATTAGCATATGAGTCCCGTTCGGGGACTTGGAGGAAGGGAGAGGGCCAGGCAGCAACTTAATGGGGTTTTATTAGGCGAAATTAGCCACCGCTGAACAGTCATAAAAATATCTAAATTATTAGTAGCTCTGCAATTTATCGTGAGTGCTTCCCGGACATGCTAATATCTATTGGGTCTGTGCTGTGCCTGCTAATCACAAAAACAAACCGCGGGACCAGCAGCATCTCTCCGCTCTACATTGTTATGCTGTTGTAGGCACGGTGTGACAGTTTTATACGGATATATATGCGCGAGTGTGCCTTGGTTTGAGGGGTACATTTTTGCTAATGCCTTATGAGTTATGTAAATGGAATACATTTGAGCAAAAATGACAAACTGGTCTCTAGAGGAGCAAGCTCACCTAGAATATAATGGGGGGATTGTGGGGGAGGCTGAATCATACGGCTTTTGTTGAGTCAGAATGAAATGCAAAACTCCTATAGTTGTGGCAATCATATGCATTCAGAACCCAGAAGAAAAGCCCCTCTGTATACGTGATGATCTTCAGAGACAGAGGATATAGAAAAACCACTCAAATGCATGTATTTTTAACACATCCGTGCTTGCCTTTATCCTCACACAGGTTAGAAGCTCTTTTTAATGAGCACCAACTACAATATCTGCTCTAGGAGGAGTCCAGTTATTGTCTCTTTCTCCAAATGTGATCAGCTGGGGGTGGGTCCTGTGAAAGGGGAGTAGTGAAGAATCAGCATTTTTAATTCATAGTGAGAGGTCAGGCAGACTGACCCAAGATAGGGTCTGACAGAAAGTTTGCTATGAAGGTGGGTAAAAAATTCCCAACAGTAAGAATAATTACACCATTCTCACCAAGCTCCTTGCTCAGTGTCTCAAGAAAGAGGCGGTTCCTCTTCCATTGGCAAGTCTTTTCCATTGAATACGTACAAACATAGGACTTCTGGGCTGCGTCCAGCAGAAACTTAGCTAAACAGTAGGTGTGGATGCTGTGGCACTGGGAGAGGAATAACACCAAGGCTTATCCTCTTTGTCTTTTTATGAAACAAAGTGTAATTATCCCAAGCATTGCCAGGACCAGCATAAGCTCTTGACACCTGGTGGTGGCTGTGTTTTCACTGGAAGGACCAAAGGAAAACGAGGGGGAACGGTGTAATGTGCCTTTCAGGAGCCAGAATCCTTGTGTTAATTTGTAAGTGCTGCATTTTATCATATTACATGTGTAAGTAACATTATATATGTGTCATATTATATATGACAAAAAGGTCAGAAACAAAACCAGAAAAAAGTAATCTTAAATAGTTGGTATAGCCCACCTGGCCTCCCATTTTGGAGCAGGATTTGGAACAACTTCTGCATTTCATCTGTTTGATATGTTCAGAGCACAGTGAGTGTCTCTGAAATGTTGACTGTGGTGCCTGATGAGGAGCCTAATTTACATATTCTCAATTTAATCTAAAGTAGGCGCTAATTGATTACTGCTGAATGTCAGCACGCTCTGATTATCTGTTCAAGATGCTCTGAGAAAAACCTACAACCCTGAGGTGCAAGTGGGAAAGGGGCATTTGAATTCAGTATGCTGTGCAGGCTGGTTTGGGCTGGAACCGAGTTAATTTTCCCTATAGTAGCTGGTATGAAGCCATGTTTTGGGTTTGTGCTGAGAAAAGAGTTAGTAATACAGGGATGGTTTAAGTTGCTGCTGAGCAGTGCTTACACAGAGCCCTCTTTTCTGCTCCTCACACCACCCCACCAGCTGGGGGTGCACAAGGAACTGGGAGGGGACAAAGCCGGGACAGCTGACCCAAATGATCAAGGGATATCCCATAACATATGGGTTTATGATATTCATATAAACTAGGGGAAGAAGAAGGTATGGGGGGGATGTTTGAAGTGATGGTGTTTGTCTTCCCAAGTCACCATTACATGTGATGGAGCCCTGCTTTCCCGGAGATGACCGAACACTTGCCTTACTGATGGAAGGCAGTGAATGAATTTCTCAGTTTGCTTTGCTTGTGTGCACAGCTTTTGCTTTACCTATTAAGGAGTCTTTATCTCAACCCACGAGTTTTCTCACTTTTACTTTTCTGATTCTTTTCCTGACCCCAACACAGGGGGACTCCTGACTCCCCAGCAGGGGAGTGAGCAGCTGTATGGAGCTGAGCTGCGGGTTGGGGTTAAACCACAACACCATGGAAGGACTGTTTACTCTTTTACCTCGTATTATATAAAGGTTTTAATTATCCAGGCCTGAGGCTGTTGAGTGACTTCTGCTTTGTCATGTCCTTCCAAGGCAAATAAGACAGATACAAAATTGTCCTTGCTTTCTGTCCAGAATGATTTTTCTCAAACTAGAAATCTCTTGCAAAGGTTTTTTTTTTCTCATCTCTTCCCAACCCTGTCCTTAACAGATTCAGACTTCAGCCCTGAATTTCCTTTCGCTGACTTTGAAGGAACAGTATGAGGTCATAGGAGGAAGGTCAGGCTTACATTTAATATACCATGCTGGATTTCAGGAGACAAGCCATGAACCTCAGCAGGGAAGTGTTCTCTGAATTCAGGACTGGGAGGAAAGCAGTGTGTAGTTGATCCTGGCTCTGTGCGCAACCTGCGCCAAATCCCATACCTGCTTTAAATCTCAGATTCCTCTCCTATGACTTGACTGCCTCTTCTTTGTAGGCAGCAAGAGCCATCTCTCACTATTATAGTTGTACAGCGCTTATCATAAGAAAACCTTGACACATAGGCTGATGTAATGCCACTAATCAGACATTTCCAGTCAGGTAAAAAAGCATTACAGCTTTTTACTCTCATACCTCAAACATTATTTTGGAACTCTTCTCTTTTGCTAAGAACTGAGCTTTTGCGGTTGGCTTGTTTGGGTTTGGTGAGCTTTCTTATCTGGGCACTGAGCCCAGCTTTAATTTGTTTACATATTTTGCAGCATGCCCGATTCTGTACCTGGAGGTAGGTATCTATCTATTATTTAAATGAATACCTACACCGTGTATGAGTAATAAGTCACCATGAACAAAAATTTTAAAAGTGAGGAAATACTCTCTTACTGTTTCCTTTTTTCTTTTTCTTTCCTTTTGTGACTGGCTACAATTAAGTAGCAAATTGCTGTTTCTTTGGATTACAGTAGGTTTAATCAACACTCTAGCGAGGTCATATTTTCCCTGGCTCAGCCTTGGTATGTGGGGCTATTTCCCCAATAGAAGTACCTTCCAGCTTAAATCCTGTCATGCAGAAAGGTTTTCCTTCATGTATGCTCTCCCCCTGTGGTTTTCACAAGAGCTCTGCCCTCCAGCTTTTCCAATTCAGCATTCACGATATGAACTTGTGTGTTTGGGAAGCTGCCAGAGGATGGGGAGCTAAGGCAGCAGTCAGTGCTGTGCAGAAGTGTTGTGGGGTTTATTTTTTATTTTGAGCAGTTAATCTCCATTAGATTGCCTAGCTCCCGTTATGCATCTCTTATATGGTAAAGGACTGTGTAGGAAACGCTGTCATTAAGAAATTTACATTTCTGTTAGTGCTGTTAAGGTTCTGAATGCTTGAACGCTGTTCAGCTATGTCAAGTAGTGGCTCTAAAACAACTTAAATATTTTTTCTTTTTTCCTTTTTTTCTTTTTTTTTTTTTTTTTTTTAATCCTGCAGTACTTTGGCTTCCTCCCATGCATGCATTTCTAATATGCATTGGTCTATCCCAAACACTTGCCTGCCTGCTTCCAGCTCCTTCAGGTTTCCCCTATGCAGAACAACCCATGTTGTCTAGTACCCAGCTGAAGTATTGCTGCATCCTGAAGTCCAGCAATGTCAGCCCCAACCCTGTTCAGAGCTGTTCCACAAATCTCCCCAGTGGCAGGTTTTTGTACCCTGTCTCTGCCTCCTGTCTGCTCATCCTCTCCTGTTTGCCTCCACAGCTCCTTGTCACACTGACATACATTCATGGCTTCTCTGTCCTGAGTGTCCTGAGGCCCTGTTCCCTCTCACTCGCATCCTAGCCAGCAAGGCTGGACTTTCCCCAGGGGAAATGAAATGCAGATATGCTTGCCATAACTCATCAGATGAGGAGTGTGAGCCAGCCCTCACAAGGAGGGCACACCTCCACCCCTATTGAGCCTTTGGTCCTGCTCTTCTCTGTCTTCTAGTAACACAAAGCAAACAGCTGCTGGAGTTGGGAGACCCAGAAGAGGAGAGGTGAAGGCTTGGTAGCATTTCCACAGCACTTCTCCACTTCTCTCCCTATTGTCAGCTCTGTGCCTGCTCTCCTGAGCGACCTGCCCCCAGTTTGAGACCTGTGTCTTCAGAGCAACCCCACAGAGGGAAGCACTGGCTTGGAAACCCCAGGCACAAGGGCAGAATCACAGGGTGGCCTAGAGGAACCCTCATGTTTCCCCAGCCATGAGAAGTGTGCTGTGAGGGTACACGTCCTGCATCCCTTTTCAAATACATTGGAAAGGTGCAAGATGTTTCCTAAAGTCATTTTCATACTTCCTTCCTGGATCTTACTACCCTTCAGCAGGGACATCTAACCAAGACCTATGGATCAGGGCTCAGCCTTGGCAGGCACAGAAGGAGCTCCACTTGGCCTGGCTGTTCCTTCATGCAGGCCGGTCATCCTGCTTCTCTCAGTTTCTTCTCTTTGGCTAGGCAATAAGACACCCCATGACTCTACATCCTTACCCTCACCTTTCCTTGCATTTCATATCCCATTTATTTCCATCCCTCTTCTCTGCCATTACCTCTCATTTGCCTATTGCCTGTGCACAACACTGCCCTGCTCTCAGCCTCCTCAACCCTCTTGTCTCCCCTGCCGGGTCCAAGCCATCCCCTCCTCCTCATGGCTGGCACCTCCCCAAAGTCTCCTCTCCTGTTTGGGCCCCTTTGTTCTTACAGTTGTCTGTCAGCTAGGCCTTTATGTGAAAGCAAATCAAAGGCAGTCCACTGTGAGAAAATGGAGAAGTGTCAAAATGACTGGGGATAAGAGAAAGCTGGGATTAGAAAACTCCATTTTTGTTTCCTCTTTCTTCTTCTGGTTTTGGCACAGGTAGCACCAGAGTAGTAAGCTGTGTAAATTCTTTTTTCTCATCCTAGGGAGGGCTAGTCCTTCTTTTATTGCAGAGAAAAACCTTCCAGCAGAACCAGGAGCAAACTATATATTTTGACTGTAAAATGCTGCATTAGAAGAGTTTATACAAATTTCTGTGTCGAGCTGAAGATTTCAACGAAATACTAGGGAGGAATTGCTGGAAAGCATAATTAATAATTATCCTATAACTATCACAATAATTAATGTGCAGTGTTTCGCTTCACCAGTTTTTTTCAAAATATTTGATTATTTCTGCCTTCACGGTGTGAATTTCAGGTGGTGAAAATGAGTTGCTTTGCACCAGTAGATCTCCTGAATATGCAATGAAGAAACCTGCAGCAGTCAGGAGCCCCAGCCAACATGGAAGATGAGACGGTGAGCTGGGAAACAAAGGTGAATGAGAAAGGCAATGGAAGCGAAGCATTTCGTGCAATAGCTAAAATACAAATCTCTGGAGACTTAAAGATATTGCATGAACATCAATTTTGCATGCCTATTGTCTGAGTGGTATTAGTGTGCGTAGGACTCGCAGCCCCCCTTCCTCTGAATGAGGGGAGCGTCATAGCAAATCAGGAAATAGCATAATTGAATCAGCTCCAGCACGTGACAGGGCTTAAAAACCGCTTGGACGGGGCACTGAAATGGCAACATACCCCAAGCACCTTGGCATCCAGCTTCCCCCACTGTCCCCAAATTAATTCTGAAAGGAAAGCAAGATTTAAGCCGCAGCAGGAGACAGTCTAGTCATGGATTTCAGATGAGTGGTCTCTTTCGACATCTGTGAGACTTTATGGCTCAGAAGCTGGATGAAACAGCTTTCTGGAAACTTCTCTAGAGAAAAGGCAGCTAAAAAAATGTGTGTCATGCTTATGCTGTTTACGGAGAGCTTGTTTTGTCCATGGGAATAAAATAAAATGCCAGTAGTTTACCACTGAGATAACATGTGAGAGTCAGAACATGCTGCCACAGGTCTGAAAGATACCGTTCCTACCACTCCCTCCCCTTTTGCCCCTACATAAAAGTTGGCAATTAGTTTTTACTGCACATACATGAAGGGAGATACATGTTTTGGCCTCTATGTGAGAGCAATAATTCTCTTAAATTGATGTGTCAGCAAACTAAAACTCAATATTTTTTTCACACAGTGTATTTTGCAGTCAGAGGACTTTCACTAATCGGAGTAAAGCAATTTGGCTCCCTGTCATTGCTCACTGAAAACATATGAGCTGGTTGGCACGTTTGGCCTCCTAGATTTATCAGTGTCTCCCATCTAGTGCATGGGAGGTTCAGGGCTGCAGCTCAGACAGGAGTGAATTTTTATGAATGCTTTTTCCCCTCCCTGAGAATTCCCAGAGCGAGATTTATTCCTTAGTTTCAGAAATATTTTATTTATTGTCCATATCCCATATCCTCTTTAGGTCAACTCAAAGTCATATTTTACATTTTTTCTCAAAGTCGTATTTTACATTTTTTATTTGTACTACTATGTCTTTATTACTTTGTTCCTTAAAATAAAACATGAAACAACCCAAAATTTGGGGGAAGTACTGTTCCCATATGTCTCCTTTCCTTTTTTCTTGTGAGAGCGCTGTGGTATGAACATACACAGCTGTCCATTCAGCAGGGCTGTATAAAATGGATTTGCTGCATCTTGCAGCAGGTTCATGAAAGGCCAGCTTTGGTGTCATGTCTTTGTCATGCTGCCTTTAAGGAAGTCCTCACCTCCCTCCCAGCTGAATTAGTACAGTTTACACTGGTGCTCTTGCCAAGGTAGATGGGATAGGCATGTTTTAACAGTCAGCCTTTACAGCTTGATTACACTAGAATATTTCCTTTTGCCTCACTGACTCTGTATCCTGTAGTCCCCCTCAGTCCCCCTCTGTCCCCCTGCAGCTCTGGGAATTCCTTTTTGCTAGCTCTTGAACTGTGTTTTTGCCTAGAGGAATGTTTCTCAGCCTTTGGATGATGTGAACCACAAAAATGCACTGGGATCCCACTGCAACCACCATATCACACAGATCCAGTTACAAAGAAAGGGCTGTTCTGCACCAGGTGCGGCAAACGATTGATATGCAAGTTATTTCAAAGCTGTGCCAAGGAGAATGCCTGTTTGGGGCAGGAGAACTCTTTGAATGTCCAGACAACTCTTCCAGTGCTTGCTCTTGACAGAAGGGCAGCCCAGTCAGGGGCAGCCTTCACTGGGGATAAGGAGCGTGGTTATATTCCCATCCTGGGCTTGTAAACATCCTGACACAGGGCTTGGACCACAGCTGTTAATACCACTGTGGTGACAATCCTGTGTCTGTGTATTGTTCCTCTCCTCTATGAATGACCTTAGTGTCAGATGGGACCTAAAACGCAGTACTTCAGTGAGAACCAGGAGGAGGTATTTTAATCATGGCTGAAAAAACTTTTCAGTGTATTCATTTGAGGAATTAGTTTCTTGCCAACTACTGTCCTAACGCCCCCTCTTCTCTTAGCTAGTCTCACCTGAAATTATAAGTACTTTTAAGGCTGGCTGCCTACCTGGCTTGGCAAGAGGCATATGGGCACTGCTGTCTTTCTGGTTATGGGCTTTAACTTGCCCACATGGTTGTGAGGATGTCAGCTGACTCCCATGCATGAGGCTTAACCATCCAGGCTAAGCCTTCAGCTAGGACATGCCAGTCTGGAAAGTGGCATCTGTAACAGCTTGGTCTTTTCCACAAAACAGACATGACTTCTGTGCTCAAGATAGAAGTGGTCTGTTCTGTGCCTCCATTTCAGCCTTTCCCTGGAGGTGACCTGCTGGTCTCAGCAGCTGGGGAGGACATGCTATCTTTGGCTTCTCATGCTTTTATTCTACCCTTGGCACGTCGTGGAAAGAATGCTAGGAAGATTGGTTAATAACCAGAGAAAAATGTCCCAAGCCTTTGGAAGTCCATTTATCCTTTTAATCACACTCTCTTTAATGAGCTGTATTTTTCTTACTTATCATTTCCTTTGTTCATGCCCATTAAGGTGTTATTCACAATTTTAGCTCAAACAATAGGTCTTAAATAAGAGGATAATATTAAGTGCATCAGCACAAGGAGGGGAAGCTGCTTTTAAAAACTGAAAGTACTGCTTGATTTCCACTTTCAAAGCATTTAATTTCACCTGGTCCACACATTTAATATTTTCCAATAAAATAACTAGATGGGGGCACATTAAAATGGTCTCAGTTGAGCTGTTTTAATAAAAGGAGAAAGTTTAAAGAGCTCTGCCATGGATGAAAAGCTATTTAAAACAGGCAGGTTGGATATTTCTGGCATGGATGCATGAGGTATCTGTCTCCACCTCTAATTAAAAGGCCTATATTGTTCAGTGCTACAACACTCCACATGACAGACATATTAAAGACCCAAGAGACCACCATGTTGTCCTGTGTTGCGTCTCCCTCTCATAGTCGTCCCAAACATGTATAGGTGACTGACCCTGCCTGCAGTTCCCCTGCAATTTGGAGATTCAATCTTTATTCCTCTTAGTCCTGCCAGACTGTCAGGGCAGTTGCAGCTTTTGAAAGTGAGTTATTCTGGGTAACATTGAGCTCCTGGAAAAATGACAGTCTTTGTGCACCACATGTGGAACAACAGAGGCCAGAATTGACAACAGCATTAATGATACCAAGAAAAGTTGCTTCATTCTGCATCCTTCCATATAAATATTTCCTATTGGCATTTCAGAGGGAATTACACCTAGGAAAAAGCAAATGGGTGCTTTTCCTGCAGTTGTTGGCATACCAGAACTAGCCGTGAGCTAGGTTTCTTGAATGGGGAGCAGGTATCACTAAGCAATTCACAGCCTGTGGGATTCTGCTGAAAATAAAGCCAAAAAGGCTATCCAGCAGGCTAACAGACTGAAAAGCCACATGAAATACTCATGCATCCTCCTTCTAGGAGGGGCAGCCATGAGGGGAGATCTTGAGGGGAGAGGAGGAGAAGCCATGAGGAAAGAGGAGGGGAAGCCATGAGGGAAGATCATCAAGGGAAAGGAGGGGTGGCCATGAAGGAAGGGAAAGAAGGGGCATCCATGAAGGGGGATCATGAGGGGACAGGAGGGGTGGCCATGAGGGAAGATTGTGAGTAGAAAGAAGGGGCTGTCATGAGGGAAGATTATGAGGGGAGAGGAGGGGCAGCCATGAAGGATGATCATGAGGGGAGAGGAGGGGCAGCCATGAAGGATGATCATGAGGGGAGAGGAGGGGCAGCCACGAAGGGAGATCATGAGGGAAGAGGAAGGGTGGCCATGAAGGGAGATCATGAGGGGAGAGTAGGGGCAGCCATGAGAGAAGATCATGAGGGGACAGAAGGGGCAGGCATGAGGGGAGATCATGATAGGAGAGGCGGGGCAGTGTTGTGGTTTAAGCCCAGCTGGTAACTCAGAACCATGCAGCCACTCGTTCACTTCCCCACCACTTCCTCCCCTGCTCTCAGAGGGATAGGGAGGAGAATCGAAAGAATATAACTCCCATGGGTTGAGATAAGAACAGTCCAGTAACTAAGGTATAACACAAACCACTGCTGCTGCCACCAGTAATAATCATGATAAGGGAAATAACAAGGGGAGAGAATATAACCACTCACCACCTGCCGACCTATAGCCAGCCCGACCAAGCAGTGATCTAGCCCTTCTGGGTAACTGCCCCCAGCTTATATACTGGGCATGACATGCTGTGGTATGGAATACTTCTTTGGTTAGTTTGGGTCAGGTGTCCTGTCTCTGCTTCCTCCCGGCTTCCCCTCCTCCCTGGCAGAGCATGAGACTCAGAAAGTCCTTGGTCAGAGTAAACATTACTGAGCAGCAACTAAAAACATCGGTGTTGTCAGCATTGTTCACAGGCTGAAAGTCAAAAACACAGCACTGCACCAGCTACCAAGAAGGAGAAAAATGACTGCTACTGCTGAACCCAGGACAGGCAGCCATGAGGGAAGATCATGAGGGGAGAGGAGGGGCAGCCATGAGGGGAGATCATGAGGGGACAGAAGGGGCAGCCATGAGGGAAGATCATGAGGGGAGAGGAGGGGCAGCCATGAGGGGAGATCACGAGGGGACAGAAGGGGCAGCCATGAGGGAAGATCATGAGGGGACAGGAGGGGCAGCCATGAGGGGAGATCATGAGGGGACAGAAGGGGCAGCCATGAGGGAAGATCATGAGGAGAGAGGAGGGGCAGCCATGAGGGAAGATCATGAAGGGAAAGGAGGGGCAGCCATGAAGGAAGATCTTGAAGAGAGAGGAAGGGTGGCCATGGTCATTGAAGGGCAGTTGTAGGGGGAGATCATGAAGGGAGGGGGGAGGCAGCCAGTGACTCTAAACCTGGCTGAAATTCTCTTAAGAATTTGGCAGCAAGCATGGTGTTCTCCAGGGGTTTCTCAATGAGGGAGAATTTTGGAATGGCCCCCAAGAGTTTCCCTTCTCCTATGTAAACATCCAACACAAAGCATGATGATGTTTGTATGTGATGAGACAACCATTATGTGACTGCTTAGAAACAGTATTAGTATTCTTATAAAATGCAGTTACTGTCTAGAAGGAATACTCTGATGGCAATAGCAGCATTAGAATTCTTCATACACAAAGGAACTAATTAGTTCTGTCATCAAATAAGAAGTGTGGGTAGTTAATTGTTTCAAACCCCATTTCACAGCTAGATGTAGGAGCAAGTAGGACTGTGTGCATAAAGTGATATTATGGAAAGGTCAAGTGACCTGTGTGAGGTTAGACAGCCTAGGGAGTAGCAGAGGCAAGGATTTAGACAGTCTTAGTTTCCAAGTTGATCTTCTGTTTATTAGATCATATTAGATCTTGAAGATTGTGTGGATATTGGTATGCTTTTATTGGCCATTTCAACTGCATGTTATTTCCCCATGGTTTTTAATCTTATCCTTTAAGGCCAATATTCGTTGACAAAATTTATAACAACATACAGCAGATTACATTTTAATGGAGGATTCCAAAGTAATGAGGTGTATTTTCCTCTGTTGTATCTAGACTCGTTGGTCCCAGTGCAATCTCACCTGGGATAAGGACACTGGAAACGTTAACTGACAAAGTGCTGTTGGGGTTTTAACCACACCATCAGGTAGCAGTGCCAGACACTTTTTTGTATGTGTTGGCACCTCTGAGAAGAGCTGCACTGATGCGTGAAACAGTGAGACAATATGTTTGAAAGAGATGCAGGAAGGAGAGGAGGGAAAGGCTGAATCACAGAATGGTTGAAGCAAGAAGGCACCTCTTCTTGCTTCAGATTAGAAGTTGTCTAGTCCCATTCCCCTTGGTCAAAGCAAGGTCACCTACAACAGGTTGCTCAGAGCATGTCTGATCAGGTTTGGAATATCTCCAGGGATAGAGACTCCACAAACTCTCTGGACAACCTGCTCCAGCGTTCA